ATTGGTTATATTACTCGAAGACCTACGCAAGACAGAGCTGCAGCGGAACGTTTTTCCTGGCTTAGTAAAGCATCGCGAGTATGTATATTTAATTGCCCTGTCTAAAAATCTTCCGTTCAAAATAGTGTTGTAAGAAACCCGTTTCTCAGAAAACTTTCTTCTGGCGTCGCTGTAGTTGATAACCCATAAAGGACAAAAACTTACTTTGTGGCAAATGAGTGAGTGGCTATCAGCAAGAGTATGTATATTTGTACGTCATCTTATTGTATTCTGACAAATCTGACGCATACAATTCTGTAAAAGTGTCGCTAAGGAATATAGTTAGAAGCGCGTACTTATGTTTATTTTGGTTTGTGTTTTGTTTAGTTTAAATAAATGTTTTGTTAGAGTTTATCCCATCCTTATTTGTTCGAAGAACAATGCAATCTCTTTAAATGACCATTTTGCCTCAGTATAAAACGAAGGATTAATTAATAGGAAAAGAGTAATAACATTCCCTACTAAATCCTCTTTGTTTTGCTTGTCCAACTGTGTTTGCATAAACACATTCGATGAACTGAGTCGAAATTTTGCGTTCAGGTAGACAGCGATTTGGAGTAATCGAATTTGGATCTTCCTTTCGAATTTCAGCCCATAGAATATCGAAAAACTAGATAGACAGAATTGTTTCGATCATCGATGAGTTTTCTTATTAAAAGAAATTGCTACATGCTTCCCATTGGCCCGAGTTACAGATGTTCGAAATTACGTAAAGACGTAATTTTAGGAAAGCAGGTTTTCACAATTATCATTGTAAGGAGAATTTCAAAGAAATCTGGCAGCGGTTGAAAGTAAAAAAATATTCAAAAACTAAGGTACGAGATTAGGAAAATATGAAAGAGTTCTAAAGATAATTTTACTTTGTTTATAACTTTTGAGGTTGTGTATGTATGAAAGTAACAGATTTTAGCGCGTTTTAGAAGTTTATTATTAATAATATTGTTGTTGTTGCTAATAACTCTTAATATTATTTCCATTGCAGGGCCCAAAAGTTTGCTATAGTTACACCATTTCTATCCCTATCTAAAAACAGTATGTAGGTGGAGATTAAGCTCCGCACGTTTTTGTACTACTGCCTACCAGCAACTCCGGCACATTTTAGCAGGATTCGGTGTTTTTAACTGCAGCATCCAGAATATCTGCATGAATCTCTTTCTTGTAAATATTTTACCAAAGAAAGGGATGTGACTATTCTCCTTAACTGACCAATAATCCTGCATATTCGCCAGGGGTATCGTACCCATATTGATAATAACTCCAATAAAAGCCCAAACTCATCTCTCTTTCACCGCACCCACGTTTTCCAAATAGAATTACTAGATATTTCTTTATTTTAGAACATTTTGTGCGAATTGTTGGTTTCTTTTATAATTCATTTACCAGTTCGTTTGTGAAAAATAATTTGAATATTATGTCGGCTGTACAATTTGTAGAATTTGGTGGTCCAATGACCTTGACGATACACTAAAACGTATTCTATCCGGAATATCTAATTCTTCCGTGACAATCGCGCCATTCATCTAAGTCTTTCCGGCGACTCTTCGCTTTCACTTTCAATAATTACCATTCGTCGTCCTCTTTGGTAGTATATATTTCGGAACCACTATTTGAAGTGTCAGAATTATAATCAACATTGTCTTCCAATATCTTCTACAATGAAAAATCAAACAATCTTCACTATCACGCAACTATATTCTCATCACAATAATTTTTTTCTCCTTGCTAACCAAAAATGGTCAATAATTTCAATCGTAACATAGCGAGACTGAGCACGTTTTAAATACAGATAAGAATTGCCAACGTCGACGATTTCGTAACATCTTAAGCTTAATCATGCTAAAAACATTAGGCTCCGCAGCGGAACCTACGGAGTTACGGACCAAATGACGGTCGGCTCCGCAGCGGAGCCTACGGAGTTACGGAATAAATGACGGACGGCTCCGTAGCGGAGCCAACGGAGCGCTAAGGGTTAAAAACTACCAAAGAGTTCAAAAGTTGGATTGCAGAAGTAATTGCTTTACAACGGATCTCATCAGTTTTCGTTCTTTAATGAAGGAATGATATCTTTAAAAAAATAGAAATCATGAACTTTTACTTTACAATGTAATAATTTGTGTTATTATTCACTCGAGTGAAAAGGTTTAAAAACTCATTGCCTTTCTTTCAATTGCTATCTCTCGTATTAAAATTATTTCACTATTATTAGCAATTTAAGTAAGAAAGGTAGAAGTTATGTTTGTATGAATATGCTTCATTTTTGTATCCATTCAAAAATATTCATTACACAAAAAAAAAAAAAAAAAAAAAACGCTTAAAATTCGCATATCAAAGAACATTCTTTGTTGAATACGGAGGAAGAGCGGCAAAAAATATTATTTGAAATAATCGCATTAATTAAAAAATAAAATATCCTCCTCTTTGAAATACTTTCATTTTTTTTCATAAACTGCTTTCTATTTTAAAAAACTATGTAAGTATATAAAGTATGTGTCCCGCCTTCTTAGCATGCCTTCGTGGTGCAATGGTCAGCCCGCTCGGGCTCGATGCGTATTCGAGAGGTCGGAGATTCAAGTCTCAGCGGGAGAATTGCTCATTCAAAATAACTTAATGACTCTACAGTGGCACCCGAACTAAAAAAGGTGGTAGATGATGACTCTTCACCATAGTTTTGGCGGATTTGGTGATTGTGTCCCCTAATCCCAGTCTCCCTTTAAAAGGGGGACTATATAAGGTATTTCCCCCACCTTCTTAGCATGCCTTCGTGGTGTAATGTCAGCACGCTCGGAACGTAATCGAGATGTCCGAGGTTCGAGTCCCGGCAGGGCACTGCACATTTTTCACGGCTTCTTCTTCAAAATACATAATGCAAACGTTGCGCTTAGAATGCAGAGTTGGGACTTTTAATTCTTTCTGAATTCTAACATATGGCTCCTACGCATATAAAGTTCTCCCATCCTATTCACGTATTACTGGACACCAGTATCTATTTTCATAATAATATCATGATTGATTTTTTAAGGAGTAGGTTAGGTTAAGTTATATGATTTGGGAAAGCAACTCTAGAACTATCTGCCTATGGTGAGGGATACATTCGTTGAGGGCATTTTAATGGAAATTGGCTCGTACCCACGTTCACATAGGAAAACCTACGGAAATGTCCATACAGCCAGCCCATTTCTTCGGCATCTGAACCCGATTCGACCTGCTATTGTAAAGTGATTTTACATTGGTAAGTAGAACTGGTGTTCAGTTCGGTCGGCCACTGGTGGGCTATTTTTTATTGGGAGGATTCAGCCATAAAAGCCAGAATTTGCTTCGTCATGAAGTTATTTAGAGCAGAGAGAGAACTTAATCTTTTACAGCTGGTATCATGAAATTTTTTGTGGTTTAAGCTACTGAAACCTACTTAATTTTTTAAAATTTCTGTCGCTTCTGTAAAGTGTTCTAACAGTCTCAACTGATATGAAATCTAGCTCAAGCAATTAAAGTGGAGCACTGATGAAATTCAGTTCATTCTTCCGCGAGTTTAATTTAGTCACAAGTTTAATGACTTAGTATCTGAACTCTGAAACCTCCCCATTGACAGGCTCCATCGAGTTACTTGCGATTTAAACTGCAATTACTTAACTATGATTCTTACTTATAATCTTCACAGTTTTTCAATTTTTGCACACTTTCTGTATAATATTTTGCAAAATACTAAAATTTCTCCTTAAATATTTTAGCTTTGAGACAGCTGAGCTTTATTTATTTAGTTTTTTTTATGAAACTTTAACACAGCTAGGGTATTCTGTGTTAGGAAGGCCTTAATAGTCTTGTAAACATAACGATATTCTTCCTTACTGTCTTTGAGTTTCGTATGCTTGTAATTTTAAAGCGGTGAGTACTCATTATTAAAATGCATCCTTCTTTTAAAATGCTTTTTTGAAAAGCGTTCTGTATTGAAATTAATAAATAACCACTATTTCTGAGAATAGAAATAAATATTAAATGTCACTGCGTCCACATCTGCAGAAAGCCACAATGATTTGTAACCGCGGGTGATTTCTTAGAGAAATTTATTCATTTATTTCTATAATCCAAGTACTTATAGTATGCAACAACTAATAACTAAAATGAGTTTCCGTGTGACAAGTAAGATAAAATAATGGTTTCAATTAAAAAACACAAAGGGTTCATGCATTCTTACCTTTCTGTAGTTGTTTATGTAAATCTAAATTACTTTTCTAAAATGTTCTTTTTGATATTTTGATAAATTCTTCACCTTTTACCTAAATACACGGCTGAGATATTATGCATTTTATTTGAGAAGAATTCGCTTTGGATACTCCATGATCAGGCTTCACCGAGTTAATATTCTTAGACCTACTTTTTGATATTCTTTAACTGAGCTGTGTACTTAGCTTATTTATTCTGCAGTTGAATTCAGTTTATAAAAGTGTGTGGGATGGAATCGTTTCGTTTTCGAATAATTCAGACTCGTTTTCATAAACAAAGCAAAAAAAAATTACATATAAAAAAAATTCTTAAGAAAATAAAACGAATCATGGTGTGTGTGTAATTAATTGTTCGCAGTAATGTTACTTAGGATACATTTTGCATGTTCAATGGCTACCAGACAGGAACGACGTTTCTTGACATTTTTTAAAAATTTGATTTTATTCATGCATGAATACTTGTGTAATGCCGTTTTGTAGTGTTCTAAAATCCAAATAACTTAAACTAAAATTTCTATGGAGGTTGGTTATCAAATCACGCTTTTATAATGTGTATTAAGCATTTTTTGTTTTGCTTTCGAAGATAAATTATTGTAGTTATATGATAATCATACTTGTAATTATAACTCATTATAATAAACTTATTTGAGAAATAAAGATTGTATTCTGCTTAATTTCACGCTGAACTGTTTCATCTAATGTCCTCAATACTAATTTGCAATTACGTTTTCTTTCTATTTTTAGGCTTCAGTATTTTCTACAGCTGTGAAAACACTGATTTCCGTCTCTACGCTTATGCTTTTAGGACTCATAGTTGCTTATCACGCTCTTGAAGTACAGGTAAGCTTTATTTTCCCTTTTAATTCCAAGTACCTATATGCACATGTGATATACAAAAGGTTTCGGCAGGCATTTATGTGTTATAAACAATTAAAAGAATTTTGTAAAAGTTCCGATTCTAATTCCTATCGACCATCAGCTTTTCAAGAATTAATTTCCTGATTACTCTTAGTTCATTTTTCGGTCAACACCTGCGCAAGTAGCTTCGTTTTCCATCATATAGTTAAAACTTTCTAGAATTATTTTTCAAATGTAAGCACATATTTCGATGTTTTCCTATCTTCATTTTCACTCCCGTTCCTGATGAGGGAGATTAACCTTCATATCCATAATCCTCCAAATTTACTAATGTTACTTCAATTCCTGTTGCTTAAAATTAGTGTAAAGACCGGCGCCAGAGCATTTGAAAACGGTGCGGCTGCACCCAGCAGCAAAATGCTTAGAAGTTAGAAAGGAATTTGGCTGTAGAATTTTGGAGTTGCGGGGCTTGCACCGGGCGGCAGAATGTTTAGCGCCGGCCCTGATTAGTGTTTAATATTTATGCTGGCTTTTGAAAGAAGCGATTAAGAACTATAAATACTTATCCTGTATTTAGATAACCATTTGTAAAATACCTTAAAATAAAATACAGAATTCTGTGAAGACAAGCCCAATTTTACGAGTGATAAAAATGATATAATATGCCCCTTCTATGTATGCATTTCAGTCTGGAAAATTTTTGTAACGGTTTATTGAGCTAAAATCAGAACATTTTAAATCGTTACATGCAAAATTTTCTGAAATATTTAAAAACTAAATCATTGACTAAGATCTTTCTTTTATGCCAAAATTCAGTAGAATGGGAACAAAACAAAACAAAAATTAGGGAGCAACAAAAAAAAAGCTGCTTGCTATGACAATTAATGATTTCACATTGGTAAAAATAATCTATCTCATTAAATTTCTATCTTCTCTGAATGTCCTCCTTTAAGCAAGTAGTCCTCGTGTGCTTTGCTATATCCAAATAGCCTAACTTACTTTAGCTACTTTTTTATTATTTTAGGCAAAACGCATCGTTTCTGTTATGAAACAACGTGAGACCAAACAATGTTCTTTAGAAAGATATACACTCAATTGATATATCCAAAAAGAAAGCATATACCTGCTCATTTTGAGTGTGATAAAAATTTTCTAAACATAAGAAATATAGCTTTTCGGTCAGTTATTTTGATAAACAAACAACGGAATAAAATTGCAGATTTTAATTTTTTAATTGTCAATTTTTAATGTTAAAACAAAACCACTGATTCAAAATTTTAAAATAAATCATTTTAGCAACTATATCTCCGAAATTTGTTCGTAAATACATCGCTCTTTTTCTTTTAATTAAAAAACGCATACTGAATATTTTCTTAATTATATTGTTTATCCTTTCGAGACACCGTTAAAATTTAGTTTTCCCAAACCATCCTCAGCTTCCCAGAATATTTTATCATATATACCAGCGTTTTCCCAAGTGTGGGTTGCTACCCGGCACCGGCTCGCAGAAAAATTTAGCTGGGTCGTGGCAAAAATTGTAAAAACACAAAAAATCTATAACATTTTGCTCTAAATTTAATATTTTTCGAAACTTTTTCAAGTACTGCAGGAGGCAACCCCTTTAACCACCGTTTCCTACCCAGACCGTTAAATTCGGCTGCTCGGATTGCTGATTTCGAGTCGTCCTTCAGTGTCGTCTCCGTACGTGCCCGTAACTCACGTATCAAACAGGTTATTTGATTGTGTACCCCTATTTTAATTATTTATTACCATTTTGACAATAATTTCATATGGTATATAAAATACTTTTTTATAAAATCATATAAACAAATCTTTTATTAAAGCTTCACATTTTTTTAATGGATAATGGTAATCAAGCATCACACATGAATGATGATATCAACAAGCACAGCAAAGCTGACATCGTGAAGAAACTATCCTGAGCACCTAAAGCAGATACGCGCCAAAATAACAGCGTAAAGCTACTTGGACTCGATACTATTGTGACGAATTTAAGCTTAGGGTTCATTGCCGGCGGCGTAAATTATTTGCCGCGATGTCTAGAGTTGTTATGACACTTCAATGAAGTATAACCGTCAAGTGAAACCGGCATTTAACCCACTCCATTCTGATTACTCTAAAAGCCAATTAACTTTTTACTCATATAAGAAAAATTATTGATTCTGCTCAAAACAAAAAGGAAAACCACTCTTACCTCACTCCCTCACCAATACATTCGTACCAGTCAAAACAAAACCCTCACTTTGATATCTTTTCTATTTCCAAATTAGTAGCTGAAACTTATCTCACTCTGGATAAAAATTATAAACCGCTTTGAAAATTGTCGCAACATTTATGCGGAGTAAAGTAAAAAATTTTTATTGCCGGGACACCATTCATCAAAGAACACAGTTAAACGGACAATTATGATTGCGCGAAACATTTAGAAGAAGAACTAGTGCTCAGTAAAGAAAAACAAGTTTTTTTCCTGCAAAAGATAAAGTCAGATCTCGAGGAATGCAATCGAATGTTTGTATCAATATTGACGAAAACACCTACAGAAAGTTTTTTTCTAAAGGCTACCGACAAAATGACTCAGATGAAATTTTAAGGCTACCATGATTTTGTCACTAGTCACGGTATTATTGGAGAGCGAGTAGCGACGAGCACGTGCAAGGGCAAAGGCTGTCATAAAGGTTTGTTAAACAATTCAAATTAGCAAGTAATTGTGTGGTACACTGTAGTATCCATAAACAGCGTTGGCGGTAAACAAAGGCCTTTAATTTAAGCATGACTTTGGAAGAATTTCAAATTTGTAAACTACATAAGTCTCGTCCTTAAATATCAGACATTTTATCGAATTATGCAGGAATGGGGAATGATCAAAACACCTACTTTTGCATTGGACTTCATGATGGCTTTCAAAGGAAACGTTTTAAAAAACGTCTGTTTGAGTAAAAGACTAGCTTGGTTTTCTGAATGACCCCCACCACTAAAATATGCTATTTTCCATTAAGGATGATTCCGGATTTCGAGTGGTTAATAAAGGAGCTTATTTGTGCGACTATTTGCTACATTCCAGATTGAATTAAATTTGCAAGCTTTGGTTTAATATTTCAACATCGAAAAATTCGTGCAAAATTTCATATCGGAAAATTCACTTAAAAATTAAAAAATGCTCTGTGAACAACACTTCAAAAGAAATTTAAATCTTCAGAAACATCCATAAATTTATTGAACCCTTCAACTACATGAAGAAGATTTACATCTGAAACATTATCATTTCAATTCAGAAATCTTTCGAGCTAATAATAGTTTTAAAGACTACTTTTCCAGATTTCGTTCAAATAATAGTGGTTAAGCTCCTTTTTCTGTCGATATGAAAGGAAATGCTTATCTTAGGAAAAGAGTTGACAATTTAATTGAAATTTCATGCGACACCGATCTTAAAAAAGTGTTTGAAACTCTACCACTAATTAATTTTTGGTTGCGCTGTCAAAAGGAATATCCAAGCGTAAGCGAACAAGTGATACAATTTTTAATGCCTTTTGTCACCACTTATACGTGTGAAACTGCGCTCTCAGCCCTGGTGTACTTAAAAAATAAGTATCGAAACCGATTGGATGTCGAACCTAATTAGAGAATAAAATTACTATCATTAAGTCCTAATTTGAAATTGCTGTATGATGAAAAACAACATCATCCTTCGCACTAAGGTTAAAACATGTAAAACAAAATTTACTTTATTTACTTAGTTTTAAATGAAGTTTAAATGAAGTTAAATTTGTTAAGTTTTAAATGAAGGTAATGGATTGACTTTAATTACTTATGTTTTTTGTTATATAATTATCTTGCAATTTTTGTGTATAAAATAAACAAACAAATAACTTGAATTTTTATTTTTATTAAAAAATAAAATTTCTTTTGTAAATAAATGTTTTTTTAATAAGGTGTGTCGCGAAAAAATTTAAAATCTCGTATCGGTCAAAAACGTTTGGGAAACGCTGATGTATACTATTAAAGTCTGTGTGCGTCTGTCTATCTGTTTGTTTGTCTCCACCGGAACGGCGGGGAGTTGAGTTTCGAGAGCGATATCTCCCGGATTCCAAAAATTCATGAGAAGCCATTTCAACCATTCTCATCTTCGTACGATTTTAATCAGGCGAGATATTAACTGAAAACTCTAAAAACGTTATATTGACAACAACAAAAACATTTTTACGAATTAGTTGTTGCGTGTTGCACGGCATATTAATTATTGATTGCTGCGGGTTGTTGACGAGATATTAAAAACTCTGAAAACGCTAATTTGGTAGCAAAACATTTATTTACGAATTGGTTGTTGCAAGTTGCACGAGATATTCATTTTTGATTGTTGCAAGTTGTTTCAAGATATTAATTAAAAGCACTGAAAACGCTAATTTGGCAGCAAAACATTTATTTACGAATTGCTGAATGCTTGAAATCCCTTCTCGTCATTCGGACTTGCCCGCTAGTTTCATTTTATTTTATGAAACTTAACAGCGAAAATACATGTCTGGGATTAACATTTATGGCAATAAAGCCTATGGCCATATGCAACGAAAGAACACATCATAGAAACAAACGTTAAAGCAGCTAGTAATAAGCAACAAAACTCTATGTAACGCGAATAAATTTGAAGCTTTATACTTTCGAAGTTTAGCTAGAACCTTCTTCCTCTATGGCAATAAACCTTTTCCAGGGGGGTGGGACATATATGTCCCGCACTTTCACTACTTTAAATGTATCTCAAGAAATTTCAGTAAACTATGGAGATTTAAAATTTACTCCTTAGTATGGATTAGGAAGTGCAAAACTCTGTCGATTTGTTTTTCTGTTCCTTTCATTTAAAATAAGTGACTAAATGCTCCCTATAGCCCACGGGAAAAGGTAAAAGCCGAACCTTCGGACTATAAATGCATTGCAAATTTGCAAAAGGTTTACCAATTCTTGATGCTTAT